TTTACCAACGTCTGTTAGCCCGATATGGTCGAATTTGGCCGCCATTGCACAGATGGCCCAATATAGTCGATTTTGGCACAAGATCTGATTTCGTATTACATGGGAGATTCTACGCCGCAGGACTTATCGATCGTTACCGCAGAACTCAGAATTCGTGTAACTGAGCGGAAATCTCGGAGAAATACATAGACGTTAGAGCTTATCCATGACATAACCCTACAAATTCGAATATTATAAGGGTCTCAATTGTAGATCTTTACTGGTTTTAATTCTGGTGTTTCCCCCTCTACTACTACTCTAAAATCACCTCTCCTCATCCTACTATACATAATAGGTTCTTCATTATATTCACTATATATATATTAATATAGTTTTAAAACAAAGCCGTGACTCGATAATAATGTAATTCATTAATGGATTCACCATGTATTCGAATTTTGTAATATCGATATTGGACATTTCGTATAGCAAATAGAAGCCAAACCCACAACTTGATCATTGACGAGCTAGAATTTAAACTCAAGAACGAGGTTCTATATTAAAGTCAAAGAATATGATATTATCAGTGGATACAAAGATTTGTAACCGACATTCAACTCTATTAAAAAGAATATACGATAGTGCAATATGTCATCGCTTGCAAAATTCATTCGCAAATACATTATACGATTAAAACGAAGAGGTCATAGCATTATACGATTAAACAAAGAGGTCATAGCATAGCATTATACGAAGGTCATAGCATAACATCATACGATAAAACGAAAAGGCCACAGCATAAATCGTAACCATAAAATTGTACCACTAAATGTATTAGCGTAATAAACCCTAATCTATTACTTTGCTATCATAGACCAGCATAATATAATAAGTGAATAACAATAATTCTCATCTGAGGAATGTTGTAATCCATGCCTGTTGATGACAATGCATCACTAATTGTATTAGAGTCGAATGCGTGTATAGCGGGTACTGAATGCGAAAAGTAGCGAAAGACAATGGATACGATACACAATCAATTAATATTATGGTGTAATAATTTTAATTATCTCTGTGAGGCTTGTCAACGATTGTTTGTGAGCATGGCGTCGTTGTAAAAACGAAAGGCTTTCTATCAGCAGAAACAGAAAAACTCAATCATTTCATCGATCATCATAGATTCACTTCGCCTATCCACATAATTCAGTTTATCACCTGCTGAGTAGTATATGAGTAAATCATAGACTTAGTAAGCAATCCAAAGAATAGTGTAAGTCATATCTTCGAAACTTGAATTGAATTGAATTGGAAAAAAGATAACTGATGAATTCCGACTATGATATCCCTGAACAAAAAGATAACTCACCTTGATTGTTGGAAATCATCGTAGCATAAGGGAACACTAGCCGCCCCAGTAAAAAAGACATACATTGGTCTATTAGCATAACTAAAAAACCCCCCCCGAAAGTTTAGCTAACAAGCGAAAGTAAATGAAAAGATCAGGGTAAGAGAATGAGTATAGATGGAGAACAACTCACTACAACTAAAGGAAGAAAGGAACAAGAGAAAAGAAAAAACAAACAATAAGCAACGAAACAATACCATACGCACAGCTAATGCGAAGCAACTAGCGTAAGTGTAATGTAGACATTACTCAGTTCCACGCACGAATTACAAGATCTAACAAAGCGAAAACTCTATGTTAACTCTATATAGCCTACGCTTGCTTGACAAAGTCGGGTACAGGTTCTACTAGCCAGACAAAAAAAATTCAGGTGGAGGAAAAAGAAATTGATGGAATTACTTATAGATTGATTGATACGGTTGGTATTGGTGACACAGGATTAACTGAAGGAAGTAAAAGGAGCCCAAAAACAAGCGGATTTACAGCAAGAGCAAGCCAACCACCAAATCACTCAGCAACAGTTGCTTCGTATATAGATAGTGGTAGTTTTGATAGCAGTTATTCACCATATAGCTTCACTGCACAGTTGTTCGCAACTATTACTATACTAGAACTATAGGACATAATCGAACGGTTTTTAAAATATCACATAAAAAACGTGGAATATTATTGGTTGTTTTACTTGCTGGTTGTCGGGTTGTGTGACTGTCTGGTAACTTCCCATACGATACTTACTCTATAATTGTTATCATTATTATTATCGTTATCTCATACCAATCAAACCGTTTTACCGTTGTAGATTACAAAGAAAAATTCTGTTAGCAACGAAACCTAACTCAAGAACACAGCAATGAACCTGCCTGCTGACAGCAATCATTTGATTTACTACGCATAAGGCAATTGTTTGGTGTTACAATTTCTTTGTAAAGGCTTATTATTACTATTGAAAGTATACTACTACTACTTAAAAATAAAGTTTTCATTAGTTCAGTATAATGTTTTTATTCGACTGGTACCGGTAATAGGTGTACATAATACGATAAATTTATAAATTGAAA